AACTGACCACTTGGAAGACCTCTGCTCAGACGGGGCGATGAGGCAAAACAGAAGTGGAAACTAGCAGTGACAAATCACACGAAGAATTCAAGCGTGAGCATCGATGCTAGACAGTGGTAGAACCCGCTAATCACGAAGAATGATCGGTCAAGGAAATAACCAACAAATAACAGTATAAGGTCGATAGAGGACAATTGGACCTTTTGCATCGGAATAACCGCACGTTATAATTTATCAGTAGCAGGTTATAAAGACAACACCTACCGCTTCCACTATCAGCATGAATTTTCAGCCAATCCCGTCGACCATGGCAGAATACCTACTGCACTGATGTCGCAGCAAAATATTTCGACCGTCAGATCATTGCCATTCAAAGTCTATGCCTAATCGACAGCGAACCGATGATATATGATGTATTAGGTTTTCGATAAACTAACCTCCTGATCATTCTTTTTCCTTTATGCTTTCTAAGCACGTTAACTAAACACTTCGTGTACAGTTGCTACGATCTGTCAGAGGAAAGGGAACTTGAAAAGTCACAGGAGACAGATAAACCTAAGTGAATTAAATAATGGTACTACTAGTTACCGCACCAGTAAAAATTTTTCTTAAAAAAGCGTAAGGTAATTAATACCTGTTAGTGAAGCACTTATTAAGTACGTTAGAAGTATGCATAATTACAATGAAATGCGTTTAAGATGCGGCACCAAAAACGCTAGCGAATGGTCAGGGGTCAGGCAACTACCAAAACGGCGGTATTTTAGAAACGAGGTATATCATCACCAATTAGAGGAATACACGGTCAGAATTTTCTCCGAAACAAGATATGTTCGAGATGGTACCGCCACAGTGTCGTGAAGAACAGCTAAAAATAAGTTCTCATTCTCGGGGCAATATGCTGAATGCATGACCTTGTCCCGCCGTGGAACGTACCAAGAAAACTTTCGCCACTGTCAACAGACAAGGCCATTCCGAAGAACCTGCTGCCCCAGAAAACAAAAGGAACTGGGAACAGAAAACAGAAGTTCTGGAGAACAGAAAACGGCTTATAAAGTCATAAAAATTTTTGTCGTACTTATACGTTTTTTAACAACCGGTTTATGAGCAAGAACGCAGAAGTTAGTTGCACTAGCGGATTAGCGAATATAGCATGCTAAGAAAAATTGACAGCAAGGCATAAACAAAGAAAACCGCGTTCGATAGTGCGGGTGCCTCAAACACAAAGCATGCAAGTACTGGGGTGACCGTTAAAGTAAAGATGAGGAGAGCGAGCGGCCAGGGAGCCAGAAGCGGCACACTTACTTGCGCGACTGCGCTGGAAGCGTTCAGACTTCGACCGCTGAAACCAACCGCCACTCGAAGAAGCTGGAGGGAAAGAAACGCAAGATACAAAACAGGGCACGCAAAATCAAAGCAGCATACATACATACGAACAAACAGCAAAACACACTGTGATGTACAACACAGCATACTGTAAGGTACAGTATCAAGATATCAAAATCGATCGACCGTTCGTTAATGTACTGCCTTACGAAGCAAATTTCCACTGGCGTAACTGATTCATTACAGGAGCAGCCGCGACAAAGCACACCCCAAATCTCGATTTCTCAAGGAAATGAAATGTTATTTTCATTCCAGGCCACCAATATTCAACAGTCAATAAATGGATGTTATTTTTTTATAAATTTGCACACACCAATGCTAAATTAATACATCAATTATTTGAATCATCAAATTAAATATACCAAATATTAACAAATATATAACAAATGGCTATATATAAGCATTTCCTTCGTTCATCTAATAACACAGTAAAACTAATTGTGGGCTTATGCGACGTATTCCTCTGTCGATTTTTTAATTTTCTGTTGTAGAGCATTTAAAATAATCGACTTTAGCCTTCGTATTACATGATGAATGAACGGTATAGTTACCATGCATTAAAGTTACCGTTGAGTGAACACGTGTGGAAAAAGGAAGACGTTTGCGGTACTCCTGAACTACAGATGTCATGTACAAATACATTAGTACATGTAGGGTGCATTTATTTAGCATGGTCCTCTTTCCTTATTTGTACCATATGCCAAAACAGTTTAGTTAGATATTTAAAAAAAGGATTATGAAAAGGAAAAAAGACAAGCAGTGTTCATTTTGTTGCTGGTGGTAGGAAGATTTAGGTTATAACCATTTTTCCCAGAATTTCGCTTTTCAGACTCATTTACGCTACAAACACTGAACAAACACACTCCGTTTCATAACATTTAAATTAGTCTTCGCAATGTGTTGAAACATACCGGGTCTGTGAACAGAAGGCCATCAGTGAAGAAGATCGCTACTCACAAAAACGGGTTATTAATGTTGATGTTAAGGGTTCACTTTTATGATGCGATAAAAACTTCGATCTTGGGAGAGAAGAAAACTGCTCTAGGTTTCGAAGCTGTTAAAAATATTGCTACCCCCTTTCAAAGCGGCAACGCTTAACAGCTACTGAACCATTCGCTTCGGGTTACTGAACAATCATCAACATAAATGGCTGGCAATTACGCTGATTCAAAATAATGAAATATTCTTAATTCATTTTGTCGGATGTCATAATTAGACTAATGTAGGTAGATTCCATCAATGAGTTTCACTCATGACATTACAGGTGAGGTCACTGTCAATCAAAACTTCATTGCCAGTGTTTAACCGTGAGTATAGTCAAGAAACTATTCAGAAAAATTATCGACCTAGCATCCAAGCTGTATGAAAGTACAAATTGAGAAACTGTCGATGAAACATAATATCGCTTTGATTAGTCAATCTGGCACATGTCATGAAATGAGGTAGTTGACACAGTGACTCGGTCAAATGACATGAGAATCAACGTGCAAGCGGGATGTTATGGCAATTTCGTGTTACTTGCAAAAGTGAAGACACGAAAGCGAAACAACTGACATGCATTTTGAACAAATGTTTCTCTGCCGCCATCTACCCGGAGAAGTAAGAACGTTCTTAAGCATATTAGTGCGTTTTAGAGAGATGTAAACATTTAAAGTAACAGCAGTATCTACACGTTTACCACATTAACTGATTCGTGCATTTAATTCCGTCAGGGAAAATGTGCAGTACATCGTTATAGCCGGTAATGGCCGAGCACTTATTAGCAAACAATGGAATAGCAACACATATTTGTACGTTGATTTGCTGTATTCACTAAATTATTCATTATATATATTGTACAAATGAGAAACACTAGAAGCTTGGGTGAAGGAGCCTTCAGGCAGGAAGTACAAGAAGCGAAAGCAATCAAATCCATTTCACCAAAATCCTCGTTCACTGATACAACAGTAGGTCATGGTTAGAATACGAACATGCTCCGGACAACAATCTGGATGCTCTGGCGATGGCGGTGTCTCATTCCGTATCGTACCCTATCCTATTTCGTTGGAGATACTGAAGAAGAGGATACGGTTAGATGAGAAAGGGCGAGTTCACAGAAGCCGTTCGCATGATACTTTGCTCACTTCTCTACCACGGAGAACACCAGGGACTATGGTCTGAGCAAGCAATGTTCGCAAAACTTGATCGCCAACCAGAGTTCACATTAACAATTGCTACCGCTGGATTGCCTTTCGGCGTTATATATCGGTTTTGGTTGGTCAACCCCCCCCCCCCGTTTTAGCTAGTGCGACTGCACAAGCTTCAGTTTCATAAAACGCATGGGTAATA